TATATATATATACTGTATGTACAGTATAGTATACAACAAATGTTTCAGTTTTACTGTTTAAAATGTAGTTTCAAAGGAAACTTGTCAAGAGAGGAATATGGGAGGCTGCCTCTATATTTGTTCGATACAGATTTCCTTTAAGAGCAAGGACACTTCTTGTTATTAGTTTATATTTAAATTAACATGAAAAAGTATTATAGTTCTTCAGAAATATTTCAGTGGTTTAGAAGTGGCAGCTGTGCAGGACAATGGCACAGTGTGAAGCAGAATATTTTTAGATCTTACCTAGTGGTCTACCCACAGCACAGTTTTATTTACTTGTTTACTCATCTCAGCATAAAGACTGCAAAAGTGAAACATAGCAGGGAAGCGCATTAACCAGAACAAGTAGCACTTCTTAAGCAACTGTCTGTTGGTCAGACACTTTGCAGTAGCATGATATGCAAGGCGTAGAAGACACTAGTATACTTACAGGCTGCAAGCATGTATTACTTATGTGTTCATCCTGCTATTGTGATTATTGCTAGTTTTTGTTCCACTAAAAATGTTTCTGCTTCTCTTCTGAAAAGTAAGGAACTCATAGGTAGGAGAATATTGTCTGACTGTCTGCCTACCTGCCTACAGCTTGACAACACCAGTTAGATTTTCCTTAATATAAAACTAGGGACTCCCATTAAAAAATATGTGCTATAGCACTTAATTATAAGTGCATCCATATTTACAGTTTTCTCTTAATCTGCAAGGTCCCACAAATACTGGTTGACCCAGCCAATACACTGCATACTGTTCCCTGTGATGGTGTTTCAATGATGGTGCACTGCTATGGAATTCAGCACAGGGATGTCGACCTATGTAGAGGGGGCTTGCTTGTACTGCAATGGGAATGGAAAATGCTGCAGGATGCATTGCCTGTAGCTTGTCAGTCAGCACCTGGCCACACATAGTCATGCCCCCTAATTTCTGGATTGGCAGAACTCACTGTGCTGCTGAAACTCTCTCACTGTAGGCTGCAGTGTCTGGGAGGGGCAGTAGGTTAAAAAAACGGCACTCACAAGGGGATCCGTTCATCCAGTTTTTTATTTGCAAATAGGCATAACAGCAGCCAACAAGCAAATGCTTACATATTTTTGGGCCTTAGTCGTAGTCTGGAAGGGGTAGCATGTGAGAAACAAATGAAGGAGAATTTGAATGAATCAGGGAAAGTGAAGAAAGACTTTTGTTTACTTTAGGAGGCTTATGAATTAGATAGTAATGGAATTTGGGGCTTGTTTACACTATCATCCAGAAGCCTTTACTTGTACTTTAAATGTGATCTATTAGAACTGCAAGCCTAAGTGCGACGATTTGGAGTAGCTTAAAGCCCAACTCCATTTAAAATCTACTTCCATTCCATCTCTCCTTTCCACCCTACTCTACCCTATCTTGACAGGTGAGTATAATTTGCTCCAAAAAAGAAGAAAAAAAGCCTGTGTCCGCCCTTCCAAGTCCCCCGCTGACACTGTTTCAGCTGGGGGAGACTGCTAGTCCAGCACCGTGCAGTGACCCTCATTAGCTGGTCCCCTTGACTCCCCTTGAGCCAATATCTGTAGTCTTCTGGATCCTGAGAGGACACCTCTGGTGGACAGCCAATGGGAATTTGACCACGCCATATAGGTAGTGACATTGACACCCGCCAGAAGTAGCCCTAAAGGAAGTAACCAGAGAGAAGAAGGACTTCTTTTCTTACAGCCTAGCAATTAGTAGGGGGATGGGAGGGATGTTAGGTTTTTTATTTTTATCCTGGAGTTGGCCTTTTATCGCACTTCTAAAAACGCTAGCTATTAATTGCTAGTGGTTGAGATTAATTGCTCCACAAATGGAACAAATAGCTCCCTATAGCATAATGTATTAT